TTCAACTTGATGATAATAATGCATTTATCTATTTATTTCTATTTATTTATACAGTGCTGATTGTCAAGCTTATACCAATATATATACTTGGATATATATTTTGTTTCTTTCTTTCTTTACCACCTTTTATTTTGCGCCCCTCCCCCTTTCCCTTGCTCATTTTCACTAAATTTCCATTTTCACTTCCATTCGTCATTCTCACAACATTGTTTCATTGTATCACGTTGTACTTTGATTTGTCTGTCTCTATATAATGTATTGTTTGGTGATGTTTTGTTTGTTTTGTTGAATGGTGTATGTTCTTCATGTCATGTGTTTTTCTATATTGTATCATCTTTGTTCTTCCCCTTCAGTTCCTAAAACCAATGGTGTCAGCCACCCCGATCACCCCTCTGACCACCCTGATACATCCTCCCACCCCTCTACCACCACACCCCAACCCCCTCCTCGCCCCCCTCCTCGCCCTTCTCACCCCCCTCCACGCCCCCCTCTTCCCACTTCTTTTTCTTCCCCATCCATGCCTTCTTCTACTACCACCGGCGAGGCCGCTCACAAGCCGGTCTCTGCCACCAACTCTCTTTCCACTCATTCCTCTTCTTCCGGTTCCCTGTATTCGTCTAACCCCGCCCTTTCCCAAGCCCACCCCCCTAGTAGTGACCCACCCCCTCAGTCTGATGCATGTCACAAAAAGTCATCTGTGCCTCGGTTTCGTCTCCTGGTTGAATCTGTCGTGGCAACCATAAGTGGCAAGCGTGAGTCTAGCTATCTATCCTCTCTCTCCATTAGGGTTTAATTTTGAAAAGTTTTCCACAGAAGGGTTTTATTTTTTCATTCAAACATTCACAGGAAAGGGTTGTCATCTTTACATTTTTTTTTACTTGGAAAACATTTCATTTGTTTTTTCCTTGAGAGTCATTTCCAAGTTTCTTTTCTGTTTAGATGACCATAACTTACCTTCTTTGACATAGAAATAGATTAAGAGGATATAATTTTTGTCTAACATTCAATTTGATTTGAGAAATCAATCCTGTAAATAAATTTATATTGTTTTTTTGCTGAGATGGGGAAAGATTCAAGGTTTTTTTTTTCTTCCTAAATGAAACGGTAACTCCTAATCTGAAATCAAGTTTCTTTTTTCATCAACAAAAAGTAATTGATTAGAGAGATATATTTTGGGATATGTAGTTCTGCAAAATCATGATGCCACCTGCAAGGATTTTCTGAAATGTAAGCTGCAACCAGAGTGGCCTATTTGCTGTGATTTGGGTATGATTAATGCCTCCTTAAACCTAGTACACCTGTCAATATGCATACCCCTGCTGTTATGCTGTGTTAAAATTTGAATTTTGCAGATCCTCACATTTATCATAACATGTGAGGAAACTGATTCCTTTCTAAATAGAATAGCTGTAAATACATATCCCAATGAATACTATTACCCTGTCTTTTACAGAAAGCATTGCATGAAGAAAAAAATTTAGATGTAGGTAATTTCAAAATGTTCTTTATTGACAAGCAGGCTGGATTGCAGTGGCATAGTTTTATACTTGTATTTAGAATAATGTTGAGTATATATGGTATCAATGTTTATGTATTTATATATTGAATGTTTGCATGTAAATTACCTGTATTTAATCATAGTCTTTATGCTGTTCATATTTAAAGGGTGTGGTATCATTCATTTCTTGCATGATTTTCAGAAAAACACATCTGTACACAACAAAATATATTCAAACAAAACTGTCCAAGACTTTTGTAGACTACCCTCTCTATAAACACAACACACATTAAAACTTTGCAGAGGCTTGATAAAAGTAATATTTTCATTATTAAGTCCAAGTTCTTACAGTACCTACAGACTTGCTACTTGCAGATGTGAAAATGTGGAATTGATTTATTTTCACCCGTAATGCACAAGAAGAATTTATATCGAGGAAAAATTCACAAGGTTTGTTTAAATACGGACTGTTCATTAGTTTAGGTTTGTCCAGAAAAATATGAACATTCTACAGTAGACATCACATATTTTCATATTTATACAATTCATGTTCAAAAATTCTGTCATTTCAGAAAGTCTGTCATCACCTATAGGTATGCAACTTACAGTAGTTTAATGAGTGTAATATGATAATTAAGTTAAAAGTGAATTCAAATTCATATTCAAAGAATTTCATATGGTGGTTAAAGCAAAGTGAGATTTAATTATTACATCTAACTTTTGTCCTCAATAATCAGTTTGAAGCAACAGTGTATTTATTGATATGTGGAAAAAAATTACCCAACACCTCTACTCCTTATCAAAATATTGTTAAGTGGTACCAGTATAAAACATATGTAAATCATATGTCAAAGCATCCTTTTAAATTGCATATGGGAAAGGATAATAGTAAAAGTACAAGTAGATTGTTCATTAACAAATGATTACGGAAATTACTCCAATTAAGAATACTTTTTTGTGGACCAAGCCAAACATCTTTTATTTTTATTCTGCTTGTTTCTCATCTTAACAAGTGCTTTCAAAATACAAAAGCCATATGATGCAGATGAAACTTTATTTACAATGTATGTATAATTACATTAATGATGTCAAAATATACAGCAAATTAAACAAAACTTCTGCTTGTTATCTCATGTTATAGTATTAACTGAGGGAGAGGTGTTTAAGTTAATTATCTACAAAAAATTTCACTGCCAAAATGATATCGGCAATGTATGAAATGAATTAATGAAAATAAGATATTCTCACACAAACAACCTGTTTATAAACAGTTCTTCCAGTGCGATACTTCATTGACAATTCCATTGAAGTTCACAAGCCCGGCCCAACCACTAATAAAATTTGCAAAACTGTTATGTGCTTTAAAGTTGTCGGTGTTTGGGAATACCAGGTATAGGCTACTAAGTGCTTCACTGGGGTAAACATATAGAAACCTATATAAATCCCTGAAATATTGTGTGCCTACATTGAGTGAAGCTCAAATTTGCAGATTCAACCTGAATTATGCATTTATAGGTATAATTAAAAATCAAATAATTTTACATCAGTAATGTCTCTCATGAAGTGACTCTTTTAATAGATGAGAATTACTTGTTAAGTTGGCAATAATGCAAGTTGTTTAGAAGTCAGCTTCTAAACTCCTTGTTCATGTTGTAAAATGAAATTATTTAATTTTTAGTAATGGCTTCTGATACTGTGTATCTGCCTTTACATGCACAATGTATTTGAATTAGACTTATATTCTTGAATCGTGTTTCTGATGGAAGCACTGAGAGGTTGAATTTAATTCTGGCCTTCAAATGGAGAATTTAATGTATGCTAAGACATGATAAATCATGGTATTTCAACAAATTCCTTTGAAAAATGAGTTGATTTTTTCCAGTCATGGAAAAGTAAGGGAATTAGAGCAAAATCATTAACACCAGAGAAATTCAGACAATTTAAAAAGTCCCAAAGGACAACAGTCAGTCTCTTATGTTTGATCCAAGCAGCATATCCACTGGGTGATTGGTTATGATGTCTGTTTAGTGGGTAAAATGCCTCTGTTGATGATCCTAGAAATTTAGAGTTCCATCAGGAAAAAAATATCAAGGCATTTTATTTCATGAAATACTGTAAACCTTGGAAACAAAAAGCACTCGCCAATCATTTTAAGAAAAGGTTGAGTTCTGGGAAGAGGTGAAAAATAATCTGTGATCGTTATCAATGTAATATGCAAGTGTGGAAGAACATCAGATAAAAAAATGTTCCCTGAAAAGCATGGCTCTACAGATGCCTTAATATTCTAAATGTGGCATATAACATCATAAAAAGTGCGACAGATTTTTATACCACATGTTTGTGTAGTCCCATATACATCTTTCTGTGTGCAGGGCTTGTAACTTTACCAAGACTGGGCCAAATTTCTTATCATTTTGATGATTCCAGAACCTTGCAGTACACAATGATACTTATATCCTAGATGATCCACCTTTTCTGATCGATTCCACAACGTTTTTTTCACAATGCAATCGCATGACCAGAACTTAACTTTATCATGAAGTATTCATATCCCACCGCTGTCACTAAAATGAGATAGACAGTACTTCATGTCTCACTGTTACCTAACAATTGATTGAGTTCTTACTGTGTACAAGCCACAGCACTGAAAATGAATGAACAACAATGACAGTTTAACATAAATATGCCTCATGAGGGCAGCAAACACACACAATAGCAAAACAAAAACAAAATTCATAGCACTTGAACCGATGCCTAAATAGTCATTAAAATAGTCGTTAAAAGATGGGAGTTGTTGCTACCTTGTTTGGCATTCAACAATAAGGGATAGAGCAACGTCGATCTGGCGCTGCTCAGTGTCTGCCGGGCTCACGATTAATTGGGCAAAAAGAATTTCCGTTTCGGTTTAATAAAATTTGGAGTGGACTATTAGGCTATTATTATTATTATTATTATTATTATTGAGGCAAGGGTATGTACTAGCTGAAGCACCATCAAGGAGTGAAAAACATCAACAGTTGTTCTTAACTTTTTCTCAAGACGACAGCAAACAATTGCAAAACAAAAAATAACAAGGAACAACATATCAAATGTTATCCTTACAGATAAAGATTTACACCGAAACTGGGCAAAGCCTGGTACATGTGTACAACTCCATTACATCAATCACTGTTATATTTATAGGGCACAGTAGTTTTTTTTAAAGGATAAACATGAAATCTGAGAGGAATTGATATTGTACATAGACAATTCAAACTTCATACTTTATTACTGAAAGATAACATTGTTTGATATTGTGAATCCGTTCTGTAGCTTTTTTTAGTTGAATATACCATTTCATTCACATAAACCTTGTTTTTTATTAGTCTTCTGTTGGTTAGATCTAAACAAGGACTATTTTTTTGCCTTCAGTTGTTATGATATTTTATTCCCTCACATTACACACACACATACCATCTCAGTTGTGTGCTTAGTCTCCTCTACCCGGTGTTTCTATATGCAGATCGTAGTGAAGGCTCATTCACACGCTCACGAAGCTCCAGCATGTCCAGCCTGGAGAAAGAGACTAGGGAAGGAGTCCAGAATCTTATATTTTCAGAGTCCTACACAAGAAAAGAAGGTGAGCGCTTTGTCACTGATTCTATTTTCCTTTGCCATGATATGCAGTGATGCCATTATAAAGACTTGGGACCACAATGAGAAACACAATGTCAATCTTTCACATATTATATACATGTGAATTGGGGGCAGTTTTTCTTTTTAATCAATGTACACATGACTTGTGTTCCCCCCCCCCCACCCCATATTTCGATATGTTTTTTTGTTTTTCTATCTTTTGTAATTCTGTGCTCTAACTTTATTGTTGTTGAATATTTTTATACAAATATAACTTGACTGCATTGTTCTGTTGATAGGTTGTTTGTATGTTCTCGTGGTTATTTTCATTGAATTGTTTAAAGAATAACTTGAAATTGACTTGCATCTTCGTTTGTTGCAGAATCTGTGACTTGTCCATGTCTGTGGGTAGGAACCACTCTCGGTTCTGTGCTGGGCATCGTTGTTAACCTTCCACCTCCTGGTGAACAAAGACTATCCCAACCAGTCATCGTCTCACCAAGTGGTAAGCTACTCACCATCATAACACAGTAACAAGAATATCTTATCATTCAATTGCATGATTTGTGCTATATTTTGCCGGAAATTATAGCAGTTTAAAGGTATAGACCAGTTTTGGAAATGCCCCCCTCTCAAAAATGAAATGGAAGCTCTTATTACCAATCATGTGAAAGAATATGTTTTGACTAATACGTGATGATACAAATTTTGCTGGGAAACCGCCTACTAATTGATATATTTGGTAAATTATCATATCTATCTGGCCTGGATAGATAGCGGGTAGTCCCATATACATCTTTCTGTGTACAGTGCTTGTAACTTTACCAAGACTTGGCCAAATTTTTTATCATTTTGATGATTCCAGAACCTTGCAGTACACACCAATACTTATATGCTAGATGATCAACCTTTTCTGATCGATTCCACAACGTTTCTTTCACAATGCAATCACATGACCAGAACTCAACTTTATCTTTAAATTACATGATTTGTGCCATATTTGGGGGGAAATTATGGCTGTTTAATATTTCAAGTGTCTCCAAGTCCTGTCCTATAACTATTTATTTATAGAAGTCGAAACATCCCACAAAGGGGGTGCAGGATTGGACCCCTCCCCCCCCCCCCCCCCCCCCCCTCCCCCTTCTTTTTTTTTTTTTACAATCATGGAGCCACCCTTGTATGTCAGTTAGCTGGAACAAGGGTTATGTATGTTGTTGAAACCAGAAATGATCATGGTTATCACCATCATTAATATCACCACTATCACCATCATCTTCACCACCACACTCAACACCATCATCATTACCATCATCACCATCACCATCATCATCATCTTCATCACAATCATCATTATCATCACCATCATCATTATCATCATCAATCATCTCCATCACAAGCACCACCAATATCATTGATTATATTTGATTATTTTCTTCAGGTACTGTATTTAGGCTGAAGGGTTGTGTACTACACATAGCCTTCCTAGACTGCAATGGTCTTCAGGTTCCACCTTCCAGTGATGTGTGGAGGGACCCGAACAAAGAAACCAGGGAAGGCAGAGATAAAAGTAAGTAACTTGTTGAGGGACCTTTACAAACATGTATGGCAAGGATAAAAGTAACGGTAAGTCATATGTGGAGGGTCCCTAAAATAGAAAGGAGGAAAGGTGGGGATAGGTAGGGGACATAAGAAGGACCCTTGCCAGGAAAATGAGGGAACGCAGGGATAAAGTTAGTCATATGTGGAGGGACTCTGGCAAAGAAATCAGGGAAAGGGAGATAAAATACTGTATCGAGGATAGAAAAGGGATGAGTTTTGTCTTGTAGTTGGCTCCTTTATGGATATATTATGGCTACAGCCAATTGCAATTTACTGAAAATCCAGGAATTGACAAGAGTTGTATCGGTAGAAAAACAAATATTAGATAATGCAGTCTTTTTATTATTCCAGTTGTTTTCTACACAGTAGGCCCTCTCCTTGTCAAGATTCTCTGAAAATGTAGAAGTATTATAGCTACTTGCACCCCTATATAGCCAACAATGCCTAATCGGTGCCTGTTGGTTCCCCATGATCCCCTTTTTCTTATGTTAATTGAGAGCTGATTTGATGAGATAACCACCTGTCAGTGACCTTGCAGGGAGGTGTAATCCCTCCTGGCCAAACTAGTGCAGACAGGCTTTAAAATGTGTAACTCAATTGATTTGTGTGTCTTGTTTCAGAGCCGTTACAGCAGCGAAGTCGCATGTCTCCCTCCTCCTCCACAGAGATAGCAGACCGTCAGTTTGTGGTCATCTGCTCAGAGAAGGAGGCCAAGGTAACTAAGACATTCCTTTTATTTATTTATTTTGGTTTAAAAAGACATATAAATATACATGATTCAAAGGTCCAAGGACCAAAACTGAACATGTATAGAAGTAATACAATAAACGTATAGATACAGTAAGTATAAAAGCCAAACAGACAGGTATAACAAGTACAAGATGGCAATAAAGATGAAAAAATAATGCATTTCAATCAAAACAATAACAAAATAAACTAAGAGAAAGTAATGGTCAAGATCGTCAAATTACTAAACTGCTATAGGGTAACGGTAACAGATAAATAAACAGACAATAATGGTTTTGAGTAAACAAACAATCGAAAAATATAGGGGTAAATCATATTTTGAAAAAAGGGCAACGATAAAAGCCTTAAAAATCTGAATTAACATAATTACGTTTGAGTTGAAGGGGTTACCACAGAAATATATATTCCTTTTACGCTAACTTTCTCACAGTAGACAAGTTTATAGTTGGTATGTGGTACAAATGACCCTAAACATACAGAGATCATTTTTACCTTTGAGAAATCCCATGTTGCAAAACTTAGAATGATCATTCCCAAAGTGATGTAGATATATACACTTCTTTTGTTTCCTTGTCTTATATTAATACTTCCACTTGTGTAAGAAAGAAAATGAAAATGAATATTTAACTTTTGTTTGCACTTATTTGGTCTTTTTTTAGTTGGCTCCCTCTTCTTTTCTTGTAGTTATTGTTCAAAAAATTACTCAATGTTTTCTTTTTTCTTCGTTTTTGTGATGAAAGTTACAAATTTTCTATGATCGACACATCTTGACATGTCCTTTGTGAAAATCTGTTTTCAAATATCAAGATATCATGCCAAATCTTGGTCCTTTTCTTTTTTTTTATCTTCATTATTACTTTTGAAATAACCTTTTTTTCCTTCTTCTTTCTGTTAATTTTCATCTTGTAGGTGATATCATTACCTTCCCAGACTTGTGTGTACAGAACCAAAGTATCAGAATCATCTTATGTTGTACGCAGTGATGTCATCAGTATGCAAAGTAAGTTGACCTCTCTTGACCTTGAGAGGGAGGTCTGAATGCATCAAATTCACCTCCTCATATTTGCACCAATTGTATTTTCCTTTTGTTAATACATTAGGCCCATTTACACATCCAAAAGACTATTTTGAAAAATCAAAGAATTTTTGGACTATCATTAACACTACTGGAAAAACCCATGAAAGTTTGCTCAAACTGTGTTTTTTTTTGGGGGGGGGGGGTGAAAAGTGTGCATGCCCTTTAAGCGTTAGCGCAGGAGGGTCGGGGAGGCGGGAAGGGTCAACAGGTGTTTAAAAAAAACCATGCTCTAGAGGTTGGTTTTTAAATTTTATTTTATCTTATTTTTTGTCGTGTTTCGCGGCTAGTTGCTATGCAATTCATGTAACTACGGGTCAAACACTGGAATGTGAGAAAAATCAATGATTTTTGGTTGCAGTGTAAATGCAGCTTTTTTCAAGATGAGTTGTTATATACCTTTTAATGAACCTGTATGAATAAAAATTACCAAAAACAAAAAGAAAATGCAATTTTGTTCATGAAAGTATTGTTGTTGAATCTAAACTATACACATTGCAGGTTTGCATTGTTTTCATTTTAAAAACTCAAATATGTGTTATGCTTTAGTAGCATTTTAACACTTTACTCTTTTCTGTTGAATAGAAGTCCTTGTACAAAAGAGTAAAGCTGATACAATGAAACAGATATATATATATATATATATATATATATATATATATATATACTGCTCAAGGAAGACAGGAAAGGCCCTCTTTATAATCATGACTTTAATAGCATGCAGCAAAAGGATTGCATAAGACCTGCTGCTTGCCATTTTGGTACTTTTGACAAATAACTTGCCCCCCCCCCCCTCAACAACAAAAATGATAATAATAATAATGAAAATAATTTAAAAAATACATTTTTTCAATATTTTTTGATAAGAATGAATTTGAAGAAGAAAAAAGAAGACAAAAAGCAGACATAGGGAACAAAAAGGCATAACAGCATAATGACCCGTTTTGTTAAATTGTACTTTTCTACTATTTTGTGTTTGCAGACAGCGTATGCCTGGCGTGCTACGTGGCCAACGGTCATATTATGACCTACAGTCTGCCAAGCTTCAGGCTTCTACTAGACAAAGAATACCTTCCACTTACAGATCTCAGGTAACCTTTCACCTTTAACCTTTCACCTCATGTATCGGATCACCATTTTGACTCTTGTACAATAGAAGCAAAATTCAGACTTTTGAGAAAAAGCTTCTTTGAAAGAAAAAAATCTTTATAGAACAGCTTCAGCAATTACAGGTGTTAAAATGCAAACTACCCTCTAAAATATATTAATGACCCCCAAAAATTAAGACTGATATGTGCCACTTGCATGGACAATATTTAATAAAGGATTCTTCAAACATAAAGCTACATGAAGTGTGAAGCTCAGTTTATAGAGGAATTTGTTTAATTCAGATGATTTTGTTAATTTTTTCTTTATGTAGTTATTTTCACTTCATCTCAGATTGCCGGAGTAAATGCTACTTTGGGCAATAGCTAGCTGTTATACAGTGCGTATACAGTGTCGTTTGAGCAATTAGATTACCTACACTATCAAAGTATCCAAAAAGTACAGACACTTTGAAAATGTCCCCAAAATTATATTCAATGATATCTGCATCATTTTATATTATGAAATTATGGGTCAAGGTCTATTAAAAAAGTATTGACGATATTTTACACTTGATTGAGCACAGGCTACCGAGGGCAATTCTAAGACATAAGAATAGCATTTTCATTCGCTTCATTATTAATATTTAAAAATTCATTTTTAACATACTACATATTATTTCACAGTGGCGATGAAGGATTTAGTTAATACTGATTGGTATATTTGTGTTGTTTTTGTGTGTTATAGGATCGGCAGAACATTCCAATTTAGCTCACATGGTAAAGGCTTGTACCAATGCTCACCAACAGAGATACAGAGGTATACAATATGCAGTGAAGCTAGGTGAGAAATCAGGAGGATGGATGATGAGGGGGAGGAGGAGGAGGATGGGGAGGAGGAGGAGGAGGAGGAGGAGGGGGAGGGGGAGGGGGAGGAGAAGGATGATGACGAGGAGGGGGAGGGGGAGGGGGAGGAGGAGGAGGAGGAGGAGGAGGAGGAGGAGGAGGAGGAGGAGGAGGAGGAGGAGGAGGAGGAGGAGGGGGAGGGGGAGGGGGAGGGGGGGGGGGAGGGGGAGGAGAAGGATGATGACGAGGAGGGGGAGGGGGAGGGGGAGGAGGAGGAGGAGGAGGAGGAGGAGGAGGAGGAGGAGGAGGAGGAGGAGGAGGAGGAGGAGGAGGAGGAGGAGGAGGAGGAGGAGGAGGAGGAGGAGGAGGAGAGAGAGAGAGAGAGAGAGAGAGAGAGAGAGAGAGAGAGAGAGAGAGAGAGAGAGAGAGCGAGAGAGAGAGAGGGGGGTGGTGCTGGTGGTGGACAATGAGAAAGAGGAGGAAGAAGAAGAGGATGGTGATGATGAGAGGGAGGAGGATAATGATGGTGATGGTGATGATAAATTATGGTAAGGAGGAGGATATTGATGCTGTTGGTGGTGATGGTGAGGAAGAGAAGAAAGAAGGGGAGATGAGAAGGAGAAACAGGAGGCTGAGTAGGAGGGGGCACTTGATCTCGTCACAGTGAGTGGAGAGTTGAATACCAGTACTCAAAAAGTCTTGCTATTTCCCTATTGTCTATTGTGAGCATATCACTAACACTTTTGGTTCCACTCAACTTCTCCCTTCTTTCAGTGAGAACCTCCATGACATGCTCGGAGATTTGTTCTTACCTGTTAACACACCGGAGGCACCCAGCAAGGGCTTCTTCAAGGGGCTGTTTGGAGGTGGTGGAGGGGCGCTAGACAGGGAAGAGCTATGTGAGTTATGTAATACATATTATTAACCGTATCAGACATCTGGGCAGGGCAGTTTTTAAATTGTATTGCCCTCAAGGTTAAACTGATAAGCCAACAAAACTATGGGCGAAAAAATGTTATTGACCGCTCAGAAAAGTCAATGGGATTTTGTGTGTAATTTGCCGGTCAATATTATTATACAATAAACCAATGAACAAATATTATTTCCCGATCTGAAAAGTCAACGGCAAAATGCGTGTTATGTAGAGCCAGGGAGAATAGTATAAAAAATGATACAGCTACCCTGGGTAAAATAAGACATATTAGTTGTATTGATATTATTATTATTATTGTTATAATTATTGTTATACATGTACATCTTCAAAGTCCTAAGGTTAAAATCAGTACATCTGTAAGTGCCTAGAGACATTGTAGATGTATTAAGCGCTTTATAAACCCAGAATATTATTATTATACTTCCACATTCTCATAAATATGCTGTCTCCCCCCTCCCTTAAATTCACAACTGGTCTGGACCACATGCTCTCGCTCTACTTCTATACAATGTTTTTGCTCATTTAGTTTTCCTATCAATTTTTTTGCAAGTCTTTTACCATTCATTGTCAGTAAGGTTTGATTATGTGACATTACGTTGTAGGGACCTCACATTTCATGTGGCAACATTACCACAGGATTCATTTTGTCATGTATACTTAAAGTTGGGTTTCAGTAAGGTTTAAGGTTACTATGTATTCTAATGCTTGATTAGGCCAAAGTTAAAGTTCAGTTTAATAAGTTAAACCTTGGAGAATTTTTTTTGGTGCATGTGTTGTAGAACATTTATTTTTCAGCAGCACCAGGTCCCTGTTTCATAAAACTTGCTATCAATAACAAAAGTTACGATAACTGTTATAAGCTACTGAAACGTGGCATTTCGATTGGCTGAGAGTAATTTTGTCTTAGAAATTTACCATTTGTTATTGATAACAAGTTTTATGAAACAGGGTCGAGGGACCTGTTGCATAAAACTTACCATTAATTGTAGCTCTGCCATCAATGGTAACTGCCATGGTAACAGGGCTCAACAGCCAATCAAAATCAAGTATTCCATGGAAGTTACCATTGACGGGACCCAGATGTCAGGCTTTTCACTAATAATTTTTGTTGCTTTCTTTCCCTAGTCGGCGAGACTGCGGGGAAACCATCGAAGAGCGTTGCACGTCACATTCCAGGGACCGGGGGACTAGAGGGTGTGAAGGCCCAGGCAGGAGGGGCGATGGGAGAGGTGGCCAAGGCTCGCATCGTGAGTATCTCATCAGTGAAACCTGTGTATAAAGGCCACTCGAGGGAAACACAAAAAGTGGTCTTTGTAGACAGGTTCCTTTAGCACATGTTTCAATGAGAAAACATTTTCAAGGGAACAAAAAATGTGCTTGTTGTAGACAGGTGGTCTTTGTAGACAGGGGGTCACTAAAACAGGTTTGACTGTATCAGTGAAACCTGTGTATAAAGGCCACTCCAAGAAACAAGTAAACTCACATGGTCCTTATGGTTTGGTGGTCTTTATGTATGCGTTACTTTTATACAGGTTTTAGTGAGAAACATTATTAATTGAAACAGAGATTGTCTTCTTAAACAGAGGTCTTTCTGTACTGGCTGTTGCTATTAAAGCAGGTTTAACTTTTATTCTTATGTTCCTTTGATATCATTATATCTTCAGTTAAGTCCACTTTCAGACATTTAAAAAAAAACACTTTGTTTTACCTCTCCTAAATGCATATCAGGAAAGAAAGCATCGCTATCTTGTTGTCCATGATGTTTTTTAAACTTTAAGTAATGCTTTTAATAGTAATGTATTCTGTTATTGTGCAAGGATGTAAAATGTTAACATTTTAGTTTTGTTTGGTCAGTCATCAAAGTAGAAAGAGCATCTTAAAATTGGAATGATATTTATGAGATTAAATAAATACTGGAAGCCAATACATATCACACTATCAGACTGCCCTCAAATCAGCCAACCATCGTCAATCGATTGGCCATTTGGGGTTCTGTAATGTGTTCTTGTGTGTATGGTTGGTATGGGGGGTGTTTCACAAAGACTAAGATCGATTTTAAGTTAGACTTAACTATGGCAGGCCATTCATGCCACTGTTTGCTCTCACTATTTAATGGCATTGGTCTCTTAAGGGACGTACAAATCATGGTCACAAATCTACAGAATTTACTTTTTTTGATAATTCATTATTGGAGGAAAAAATATTATCTAAAGATTATAAAGGTGGCATGAACGGCCTGCCATAGATAAGTCCGACCTAAAGTCGATCTTGGTCTTTGTGAAACACTCCCTAGGTGTTTTTCTTGTTAGTATGACTGGGGTGTTATATGAAGCCAACTACAATCTTGATCTTCTTTTTTTTCTTCAGGCATTATACGAGAGAGGTCAAAAGTTGAGCGAGCTTGAAGAGAAGACAGCCCAGATGATGGCCAATGCAGAGAACTTCCAACAGGCGGCTAACCAAATCATGCAAAAGTACAAAGACAAGAAGTGGTACCAATTCTGAGTAGAAACAAACTGCAGGTTACACACAGGAGTAGGATTTCATTCACCACTTTCATTATCACCGTCAACGAGGATCTTCATTGTGACGGTAGGCGCGAGGTTGACGTAGCGTCTACCCAGCGATTGGAGTAATGGGAGCATTTTTCTTTGTGCGGTTGAAAGGAGACAACGGAACCACAGAGGGCAGCATTTCACCTACCACTTCTCATCGGCATCACCATGGTTTTTCGTTTTTAAGATGCAACTGCTTTTGAATAACTGAAATGAAAAGAGCTTTCGTAAAGACGGTTGTATTATCTGTTCTCTCTTTCAAAAGGATAGATCGGAAAAGATGCTGCGAGCGAGCAGAACTCAACAGGATTAATAGCTTTATGAGTTAGGAGCTTTAGAAGCAAAGACTTTTAATAGACTCAAGATCACTCATATAAATAGCCGACTCAGAGAGACGGCTGTTTTTTGTTGCAAGGTAGGCTTTTAACAGTTGGATGATGAGAGGGTGTGGTAGGTGAGTTGCCATGGCAACGAGACGGATAGTGGTAACCAAGGTAACCAATGTACCGATGCATGACTTGATTAGCTGGCTGTCGAGAGAAGGAGCCAGAGCAAACGTGCCGTCAGACGGGATTTCCAGAGGGAGGTGTGATCCATAGGTGAACAGCCAGTAGTATCTGTCACTGTGCGCTGTTACAAATAGCGATTACAATTCATTCATGTTGGGTTCAGGCAATATGTAAGATAGTTTCATTCAATCGACTTGTATTACTCGCCGGATGTCGACGTGAGATAGAATTGATGGAATGCGTTGAATTTGAAGCTAGTCATGACAAGTAGACTGTATTAAAAAATAGATGATATTTGTGATTGTTTCTAAACAAATATTAGGAATGAGTACTTGGGTACTGATTTTCTTCCAGAATATACAATTGTATCATGATTCAAAAATTGATGTTAGAATAGAGATGATGATGTTTCCCAAGATATTCTCTTAGTGTGATCCCCTCCCCGTAGTCATATACATAATCATATATGTAATTTGTATACCAAATTATAGCGCAAAACAATCAATGCAGAAGCAAACGTTTGAGTGAAAATTTAGCTTTTTCTCTTTCTCTTTCTCTCTCTCTCTCACTCTTTTACTTTCTTTCTCTCTATTTTTTTTCAGCCTATCTTTCTTCAAAATAAGTCAAAGGTCATCTTAACTTCCATTTTCAATTTTATTTTCTTCAAGACACTCAAATGAAAATGACATTGTTTTTACTGCTATCGTGTACATTCCATAATAGCATGGAAGGAAGGAATTTTGTGTCCTTTTGATCAAAATTTCTCATTTTATCCACTCTATTTTTCTCTTCTGAAAATTGATTTTGCTCCAGCATTACGATATCATTCCATTATAATGCAGAGCGGCGCATTGCTCTAGAAGATTGATGATTTTGTTCAGAAATGAATTTAAAGATTCATTCTAAGCCGATATACTTGTAAAGTGTTAGAGGATTTTATGAAAATGCTTTGCATGAATGTCTCTGCCAACGATAATGATACTTTATCCAACGCAATGTGCTCTTGCAAAAAAAAATACAAAAAAAATCATACGTGTCAAGTTTTGTTGTCCTCGATGTTGTTTATATTTCAATAATATACTGTAAATAAGAATTGTCTCAATATATGTAGTATATAGAAGTATTTCATATAAGAGAAGAGAAGAGAGAGGCATTATCTTGTACGATTCAGCTCAGTTCATTTAACGTTCACTGCACATAACTTTATGGCTACGATGTGCAAATTGTATAGATGAAATTGTGAGATATATACTGTGGTTGTTCATCTTATTTTTCTTTTCATCCGCATCCGAGAGGATACATGATTGCACAATATTGATATATGTTTTGGCCCCCTTGTGGGGAGAATTAGATTATTTTTTAGCATTTGATCTCCTTTTTTTTCTCCAATTTCTCAATAAGAGCCCTTTTCCTTCACTCTACAGTATTTATGTACCCAGCAAATAAATAACTTATCCTACGTCACAGTAAACCAACTGCAGTAATGCCATACATGTTCATACTCGACATAATGTTCCTGTAAATAGTGCTTTGTAAATAAAAAGTGAGTTTAAAAAACATGCTAGTTATACTAGAATATTATAACATTTATGCCATGTATTATAAAGAAATTTAATCTAGTTTTATTTAATTTGTGCTGTTGCAATTTTATGTATTCAAATGAGCCGAATGGCTCGTTTCTTTGGAATTGATTTATATATCTTCTTGGAGTTTATCAGCGAGTCTGAATTTGAGATTGTCGTTTACGTGCGCATGCATTTTTGTGTTTGAGAGATCAAAGGGAGACAGTGGATCCGAAATTCATTGGAATAGAAAATATTTCACCTCAAAACTAAAATCATTTGTCTCGTTTATTCAAGCTTCTGTGCCCTGCCCTCTCGTTAAAGCTGATCGTTATTTAAACATGCAGTTTTAGCATCACTTGTCTCAGATCGCCATCCCTTACCATAAAAAAATACTCTTGCAATTACTGAAGATAATGATATTTTGTTGACTGCCCTAACATGCCTCAATCAACTATATTGATTGTAAAAGCCAAACAGAGGCGTTATCGATTCAGAGCGCTTCTCTTTTCTTCGTTCGTTCTGTTTTTATTTTTCTACTATACCCTGGCGGTATACTATTTTGGAATAAATTCTTGAAGAAAAGTAACGCAAGCAATGCAGGATATGTATTCTAAAGTACACACTTCCAAAATTAATCACCAGCTACCGTGCAATCCATTTCCAGTACAAGGTATATCAAGTCACATACATAAGTATATTCATTATTTATTCATGTTGAAAACATGACCAAAATATTTAAAGTTAAAAGGAAGGAAGGATGAAATATTTTTGCCAAACAATTAGGTCTACTTCTTACGTTGATTGACCCTAACAAAGATTTCTAGACGTGGGATGTGAAAAAAGGTGTACTTTGCTAATTATTTGTTTGGAAAGATATTTCATTGTAAATTAGAAACATGAAATTATTTAGTAGAATGGTTTAATGTCAACATTCTGATATTTGAATCCATTTTTTTTTTCTTGTTCATTTTAAAATTATCTATGAATTATGTTCAGAAAAAAAAAGCATATACCAACATTCACTGACTAATTCAACAAATCCTCTAAGTTTAAAGAATTTCTCTTTTAGGGTTTCATATACAAGTGGTCATCATTTGAAATAGTGAAGAATTTGATATTATTTTCAAACAGAGATTATGTTGCAGGTATTTGAAATATGTATTTTTGAAACAGGGCTCAATTGTCTCAAACATTTTGTAGAGATGATATGAAAGAGAGAGATTTGTTCCCTTATTTTTAGCTTTAATTGATTTCATATTTTATTATTTAGTCCATTCAGAACTTCAGTTCTGTAGCATGCATTGCCCTGTGGGTTCAAATCAATTTTAATTCATTGTTTCATTGTCATGGTAATGTGAAACATATCTTCCAAGGATACAAACTGCGTTATACTTGAAGAAGTTTTGGTAGTAGCCTTTTTATGGCTAATTGTACATTACACACTAGGAATTCTTCGGGCGGGGCATACTGCCAATGGTAGCCTAAGATTATCTGCAAGTTATATGTAAAAACGGTAATAATTAAAGTTTTTATGAAGTTTTGGCTTTTACACAAAGATTACAACGCACACATAGCTTAATCTTTTATGTTATTGTATTTCAATCATCACAGCTAATCCTTGGCCACGCTAAGATTTGTTTTATATTTACTAATCATGAAAATGTATGAGGCAAACAGTCATCAATGGTCAAATTTTTCAGAGCTGCATGTACAGGTATTATGTACAGGTTGATTCAAACAGTTCTTAATTCACACTGCTTGAGATGATCATATACCGGTAAAAAGTTTGTCTTCTGATTTCAACGTCTTTCTTCTTCTCGCAAGATAATATCCAGATATTTGTTGTTCTCGCAAGATAATATCCAGATATTTGTTCTTCTTGCAAGATAATATCCAGATATTTGTTCTTCTCGCAAGATAATATCGAGATATTTGTTCTTCTCGCAAGATAATATCCAGATATTTGTTCTTCTCGCAAGATAATATCGAGATATTTGTTCTTCTCGCAAGATAATATCCAGATATTTGTTCTTCTCGCAAGATAATATCCAGATATTTGTTCTTCTCGCAAGATAATATCCAGATATTCGTTCTTCTCGCAAGATAATATCGAGATATTTGTTCTTCTCGCAAGATAATATCCAGATATTTGTTCTTCTCGCAAGATAATATCCAGATATTTGTTCTTCTCGCAAGATAATATCTAGATATTTGTTGCGGTACAGTTCTGCGATCACAACCATGCACAGCACTCGTGTGTAAATAGCGTGTACAATACACTAAACCACATGCATTGAATACCAACAACTGTTATAATTGTCAGTAACATTCTCATCAGTAAAGCTTGTATGGTTACCATGACATACCCAAGTCGTTTGGTTATAAAGGAATTACTCAGTTATTTCATTCAATTCTTTGTATTTATGGCACATTAGACAACAACAAAATTGATCAATTGATGAAAATTTGAATTTGTATGGTGTCCCTAATCTGCCAATCCTTTTGTACCGTATCTTTGCTATTTGTTTGTATTTTTACATTAATATATTAGACTAGAGAGAATATTTGATTCCGTTGATTAAATGTCTAGCTATATATTTGTTAAGGCATCTTGATTATGTGAGTGCCAGTGTTTAGTACATTATTGGAATTTGCTTATAATGCGTATATTATGTTGGTGGAACGATGATCATGAAGCTCAAAGCGTTTGTTTTTTTGTTTTGATTCATATTCTTATCATTAAGTATGTGTTTATTGACTCTCATTTTACGCCAAGTCATTCCAAGTCGCATTCAAATTCATGACAGTTGAAATGTACGTATGATCGAATAATGATATATTGCTATTTGATTTAGAATCGCCGATAGATCAGCAAAATAGTTGTTGTTTTCTTGCAGGGAGATACATGTTTTGAACTGAGAGAAAGAAAGAGGCATTATTTGAAACTTTTGCCAAATTGCACCAGAATTTGTTTGTGGAATATACAACACATTCCAAAGATATCCCCAATCAAAAATCTCATACATTCTCTGATATACAGTATTTGTGATGATTTATTCCATATTTATCTTTCCCCAAATGATAAAGGATACCGTAAAGAAGTATTCTTATTTACAATGTCATTGTAAAGAGACTTATCTAAATCTTTTGTTTGAGAATTGCTGTTTCAGTATCTCCAGTTTTTGCAAACTTGATGGAAGCTGGTTTTGTTTTAAAAGATAGAGATAAACAATTCCAAAACTTTGTGCTGCTATTTATTATTTCCCTAGAAGTCACAATTGCAGGTGGCATTGCATTATAGCTGTTGTGACTTGACACGATTGCATACTTTTAGTACCACAGGGTCGTGAAGACCATCAAGTTAAGACCTTATTGTTGCTATCAAAATTTTACTGTAATTCGGCAAGATTGAAATATAGAGCTCATGCTGCCGCAAAAAAATCCTGCCAGGTACAATTATTCAATTATTCAAATTCTAAATTAATATTTCATAAAGCATGATTAAAGAAGAGATACGATTCACATCTATATGCTGCTTATTATTAAATTCAGAAATCTAAAACTGGTAAATATACACATTTATGCAAATCCAAAATGGTAAAACAAGACATTATCATGGCATTAAAATTGTGCGATCTGTGGTAATGAACGATTTGGTAATAGGAAACTTTGATGAATTGTACAGATACAGTTTTGAGTCGGTTATAATACAGATAGGATCAGGAATAGAACTTTGGAGAATCTGAACCACTCTTAATATTTGTTTGAAGTTTCTAGTTTTACAGGGGATGATAACATTCATTTGCTAATTAATTCAATAGATAAAGATTTGCAAGCATGCTTTCATTTGCAAGCGTAATCCTTTTAAACTTCAAGAAAGCCCCCATTCATATCTCAGCAGCTTAAATTGAAATATATTGTAACAAAAAAACTCAAGCCTTTGCCAAAGACACAATCTGATTAAACAATTTGTAAAAGCCATATCAGCAATACTATCAAAAAATATATATAACAGATGAGGTGTGTACATGTATATGGGAAGCTATTTAAGGATTTAAACACCATTTGGGTATACCTTAAGGTGTTATTTTGAGAGGGAAGTTGATAATTTAGCTGTGCAGAGTTAAGTTGAGTAGAAATTGGCAGTTGCAGAGATCCAGCTGTTCATTTTGTTCCAAAGTTCTCAGTTTTGTGTATGCATTAGCTTGCTTTTTGGACATCAATGTTCAATCGAAGGGCGCGGGATTGAGAACGATCCAAAGCGAGGTTATTTTCCCTTCATTTTAATGTGCAATCGAATGATGTATAGTAGTTGTATATCACAAATTATTCATATTCAATTGATGACATTGTAATAATTAATGTGTGTTTAGATAAAAGAAATTTGCAAGAGAAAATATATATATAAATATATATGATTCATAAATGCTACAATATATGATGGTGATGGTGCGATACGGTCTATAGCTGAATCTTAGAAATCAAATTGATATTTAGATATAAGTATAGAGAAAATATATATAAATGTATCATAATACCAAATCGGTTTAATATGTGGTTCTTTTCATTGTACTCCTTGTTTGAAGATGAAAAAAAAGAACAGATGAATGACTCGTACAAAATATATTATATCAAATATTATAAATATATCTGAAACCTGATGGTTGATGTTGCTGTCGAATTTGGACAGTATGTTTCCCCCTTTTTTCCTCTTTTTCTTCTTCTTGTACTCAAATGGAAGAGAAAGAGTAATGAATGTTCCGTGTTGCAAACATGTACAGAAGACAGTGGCTAGAAATGAACTGTCAGTCAGTGTAGACACGTACCGATTAAAAGACAGTATATTCACGCATTACTCAAACATGTCGTATCTGTGTGCTCAATGTTCCTGTATTCCAATCATACTTCGCATTTTTGGCGTACGTACCGATGTTATTAATCAGTCATCATTCATGTAATTCATCCATCTCTCCAATCTTTCTCTCTGTTTCCCTTTCTTTCTTTGTCTTCCTTCCTTGTACCTGCTTTCTCTCCTCTTTGCTCTGTGTCTCCCCCTTTCTATCCCTCCCTTTCTCTATCTCTCTATCTCTCTCTTTCTATCCCTCCCTTTCTCTATCTATCTCTCTTTTCTCTATCTATCTCTCTCTCTCCTCTATCTCTCTCTCTCCTCTATCTATCTCTCCCCTCTCTCTCTCTGTCTCTCTCTCTGTCTGTCTCTCTCTCTCTCTCTCTCTCTCTCTCTGTCTCTCTCTCTCTCTCTCTCTTTCTCATTTTGTGCCTCTTTTCTCCATCCTTCTTTCTGGCTTTTGTTTCTCTCCATCACTCTCTTTATTTCATTCTAACTCATTTAAAATAATTTTCCGTTCCGCATTTCTAATCAAACCTCCTCCACACTCTAAAAAAATAAAATCTGTCAAACATATTCATATCTTTTTAGCTTTTATTCCATCCAACATAGTCATTTTCAAGACTTTTTGCATCAGTAAAATGGTACAATGTCAGAATAATATGATATAGGTACATAATTTATGTTTACATATCCATTCATCTTCTTAATCATAAACCAACAAAAATATATGCTTTCAAGATCATAACATCATTTCATGACAACAATATTAAGAAAGAATGAATTTGCTCACTCTTTTCATCCTAATTTCATTTTTAAAATACACAAGAGAGAATAGCAAAGTAGATTCCTCATTACTAGCCATGCCGAACTACAGGTTTCATCAACTCGTTTCAACTGTCTCCAATATACATAGACATACATGCACCTAGAGAAAGAATTTCAAATTCTTGGACCACAGAACAGCATAATAACATCTAAATGTATCACTTCCTGCTGTGAAATACATGACTGAGAGGAATTCCTTTAATACAGACACTTTTGCATCGCATCTGTAATAAAAGCTCATGCCATAAATATGTATATATATATTTATCTATACAGATGATTTGTTTCTTCCCTCTATACATGCGTTCCCAACAGTTACCAGATAACGTTACCATAGCCTACTGAAGGGTTATCTCTCTGCCACATAATACAGCATTGCAACGTGATACCGATTACTGACTTTTGTTCAACCTTCATAGAATATATAAAGATACAGATATAATTATACTTCAAGTACAAAGTATCATTCATGTGTAGAATTCTAGCAGAACTCTGAACGAAATACGGGAAACTTTGTAGAAGAAAAAAATAGCACATTACTTGTAATAGTAAAAGTTGAACAACGGAAGAGAAAGATGCAAGAACATACATTAATACAGTGTGCATAACAGGAACACTATCAGACAGGCTACAATTGATTTAGAACGATTATCTGTAAGCTATAAGATGTGAGAGTAAAATAGTGGCTTAACTTAGAATTATCGGGTCATCACGTCTGGACGGGTGGTCGAGTTACACGACCTTTCGTGAAACGAAACAGAAGATAAAGCAACCTTTTGTAGATTTGCCGTGGGGTTTTCACAAAGTGTCTGGTAAATTGGACCAGACCATATGTAGATGAGAGGGGTTTATTTCACAAATTATTATTATATAATTATAATTATTTTCACATTACCCCCCCCCCCCCCCCACATCTTGTCAATAAAGGGGCATTTTTTTAAAACAAAAGGTTGGATAACGTGACCACCCAAACCAACGTAATGACCCGATGATTCAAAGTAAGTCGTATTAGCTGTATCTTGGAAACAACTTAATATGTGGACTTCATGTCAAAAACATCAAATAATACCATCTCCAATACCTCTTAGTAGCAGCATTGCTGAATCAATTGCCTGACATTGCAACATTCATTTCATTTATAAGAGATTAATATGATTTGTTGAAGATGACCTATCGAACAGAAGGGAATTTGTTGTGATGGAATTCCAGTATTCTACAATTCCACACAAGCTGCATATACACTGTATCCTGTACCCACACAAAAGTTTGTAACCCCATTCATGTATTGGTATACCTAAAGCCTAAAGCACGTCACTTCTCATAATGATTTCATGAGTATCAATTCACATACAAGTTTGCATAAATATACATGATGAAAAAAATCAAAAGAGAAGTTTCTATTTATGAAATCTTGAAAAATAAATATTTATTATAAAGAATTGAGTAAACATTGGGCTACACTGTTCTTTGTGGCTTAAGTAAGTTGAAAGCTTCATATCAAATTGCAGGAACCAAAAATTAACCACAAAAATTGTCAACACAAACCAAAGTATTTAAACAAGAAATGCTCATGAGAATCATACAAAAATATGAGATTACCACCCTCTGTGGTGGAAATTAGAAAGTTGTGATGTACATGTTAGTTGTTCAGTGAGAATATTGCTTTACAAAGTACAGAATAATGCTTGTTCCTTGCACTAGTACATGTTATACACAGAGGTTAGAGATGAAGGAAGCGCCTATACAGGGCATAGAATAACGTGAAGACTCCTAAACTACAATATTGATAGTTTAGTGATAGAATAATGCCCATCTCTTAAAATAGGAAGCTAATTCATTAGTCTCACAAACAAGAGAGATTCTATTATTCTGCAGAAATTGATCATGAATCGCAAGCAGATACATTTTTACAAAAACGCCCTCTACGAGGTATTGCTTAAATTTATGACATACTCACTCCACGGGCGAGTTGCCTTTATTGTTGCATGTAAACATTGCCTTTTACTACATACATGAGCGATGGCATATGCGCACAGCCTTAAGCTGAGCCCTCTATACACAGAGTTTGGCCAACAATATGGCGACTACTGCTTTGTTGGGCAAGCACAAAACAAAAGAATATGCGCCATGTTGTGACCCGGTGAAACCAAGTTGGCCAAACTCTGTGTATAGATGGCTCTGGCCTTAAGGCCCACTCCAATCGCCTTTAACGTACCAAGCATCGAGACTTCCAGAATTCACTGTACAGCTACATGATAAGTAATAAACATTTTCCTAATCTGGACCTCGTATACAGAAGCGTAGTATAATGAAATGCATGTGGGAGCATCATTTTGAATGAAAACTCTACAAAGGGTCAGGGTTTCCGCTCTGGTCTGATCATGGTATTGGATGAAATCGTATAACTGGGCGGGGCTTATCGTGAGCGCACACTGATGATTGGTCAACTGTCGGGTCACTTGACTTCTTCAAAGTGATGTCTTAATATGATGTTACTTTGTACGATGTGGTCTTTGTAGTCTGCCCGCTCATTTGTTATAAGACCATTCTTTACATGACGTTTCTCTTAAACGACTTTCATTTCAATTCCCCTCGGTCTGAACAGTCTCATGGTGTTAACTAACAAACATGTACATGTAGAAACATGCAAGACTCAGGTTAGACATCTGGGCCCTGTTCCACAAAACTTGTCATCAGTGACAAATGACAGTCTTCTGACTGGTTACCAACAGATTTGTCACTATTTTTTGTCATTTGTCGTTGAAAAAAGACTTTGTGAAACAGGTCCCAGGTGTTGAGGTGACTGTAATAGCACTGCTTCCAGAGGAGCACAGCAACTTTTTGTTTCCCTTGAAAATGGTTTCTCATTAAAACATGTACGAAAGGAACCTGTTCATAAAGACCACCTGCCAGAAAGACCGCTTTTCTCGTCTCTCTTGGGTGGTCTTTATAGACAGGTTTCACTGTATTACAGTTGCTAAGACCAAATAGATTGGTATCTCAAATAAACCTACTGTATTTTTGATTTACATACACTGTACCTTACCTTGAAATATCTAGCCTTTTTGGATTTTGTAAATAGATCGGGGGAAAATTGATCTTGCCAATATTGTTGGTGGTGTGACTACCGTACTCAATATATTCAAAAATTGAGGTAAATAATTCATAGAGATAGTTTATAGATACCGTACATGTAGTCATCAGTTCGGTGGGACTGGCCCCCTAGTTGGTGCTTTCATAAGCAATTATGCATGCACTTATGGACAGAGGAGGGAATAATGTCATACACTAATTAATGCAACCCAACGTTGCTACATAGAATTAATCCATGAAAGTAGGACAAATTTGAATTTCGAAAATGGTGTTGTGCCTATCAAAACTCAAAATATTAATTACTGCTCATAATACAAAAGTCTCATATGAACAAACAAAAATATAGTAAACCGAATAGATGTCTTTACAAATTGTATGTTTCTGCTATCTCTTATGACACAAGAATTGCCCAGATTCTCTTAATGCTTGATATATCTCATATAAATCTCATTTTGTGAGCACCGCTGGGTAGAAAAATAAACCAGACACATGAGGTTTTGTTGCAGTATCATCACTTAAAACCATGCCATGCAAAATTATTTTACAAAAAGAAACCCTCTTCAAAACAGAGGAGCTGTTTTTGAACAACATAAAGGAAAAAATATCAGTTTCAAGGAAAATAATTCCATCAGTGGTTTCAGAAACTTTAAGATGTTATAAGCTGTAACTTGAGTTGTATACCGTTGGCTGAAGACAAGGGGGGGTGATCGGACTTATAGCCAATTTGACAAAGTTATCCCTGAAGTTTTAGGGTACCATAGTTCTTGTTGTTCAGCGGTGTCCTTTGAAGACATCCTTCATGGTGATATGGAAGTTCAGGGGTGTATAGCTTGAACTATAGGGCCGTTTCATAAAACTTGCTATGAATTCAAACAACTGCCAGCATTTCAAAATGCCTTTACTCACTTTACTCACAGTCATCAAATTCAATCGTTTCAAGAGCCAATATCAACCATTGTAATTTCTCAACTGATCAATAATCTTGCATCTTGCAGGATCATAACTTCCGAGAGGATTTCCGTTTTGCCATCAGTATCGCCTGCAGCTTCAAATGATATTTTCCTGGGTCTAAAGTTGAAATCAGTGAGGACATCATTAACAGCCTTTTGAGCGCATTGGTGATTCCATAACTGACAAATTTGAGAGAAGCAGCAGCATTCAAGTAGTACTTCTTCAGCAGCTAACTCAACCACCATCAATGATATCCTTATCGATTCAACGACAATGGGTGACATTCTAACGTTGTCCTATGAACTCTTAAACGACTCCTTGTACACGAGGAGCCTACGATCATCACCACGCCAGCACTGTCATGAAGCTAAGACTTTGCATTATACAAGCTCATGCAATACCACAGTTGCACAATCCTTCTAGCAGCTTGCGGTATATAAGCAGGTTTCCCTACTCGCTAAATCAGTCTCAATCTCGGTCTCGGTTTCGACTTCCCAGACCATTATTTCACGATTCATTTCTGAAAGTGCTTTTGATCATCACCACGTCAGCACTGTCATGAAGCTAAGACTTTGCATTATACACGCTCATGCAATACCACAGTCGCACAATCCTTCTAGCAATCTTGGTCTCGGTTTCTGCTGCCAAGACCACTATTTCACGATTCATTTCCGAAAGTGCTTTTGATCGGCCAGCCACGAGACTGTACGGATCTTTCTTAATCTGTTGTCTTTGGTGTATGGTCCTTGATCAGGCACTGTCCCGAGGCATTTCACAACACTCACACTTGTCTAAGAAGGGATGATTGAGGAAGGTACAGTGCGTACACGCCCACTGCTGACCCTCATCTGGGTCTATGACAGGAGGCATGATGGGATCTGAAAATACAAAACAAAAACAGAATTTTGTCAGCTCTCATGAGAATGCCAAGCTGTGGTAATGATGAAGTTGTAGTTTACATAATCAACCTTTCCCCATTGCTTTCAGTTTCATTAACAATGTCAGTCAGAAATAATAGCTCAGATATAACAGCAGTACCATTGAATTGAAGTGAATTGACAAGGTTTATTGATAACAATTCAAAGTCACAGCTAAAAGCTGACACATCTTGAATTTACAAATAAAACTGCAACATTTAAAATACATACACATAGCATTTGCAAAATAGGCAAATATAAAATAGAACTGACATTCTGTTGTGAAATTGATGTGATAAAAGAAATAAAAAAGAAGAAGAAAAGAGGAAATAGAAGAAGGAACAGAAATACAAAAGGAAACTAGATGGAATTTTGACTGCGCGCAGTCGAAAATGATGCCTCCGCCATAGAGCAATTTAAACAAGTTTGGAGTTTAAATCTCCAGTGGTTCTTGAGATATCATGATAACAATCTCAATGTATGGAATTTCATAAGTTGACCTCTGTGACCCTTGACCTTTGACATACGTGCTCCAAAATCTAATCAGATTGTTTTCCTATAGTGATACACACTATCACTAAGTTTGAAGTTTAAATCTCCAGTGGTTCTTGAGATATCATGATAACAATCTCAATGTATGGAATTTCATAAGTTGACCTCTGTGACCCTTGACCTTTGACATACGTGCTCCAAAATCTAATCAGATCGTCTTCCTATGGTGATACATACTATCCTTAAGTTTGAAGTTTAAATCTCAAATGGTTCTTGAGATATCGCGCTAACAAACTCAATACAAGGAATTTCATAAGTTGACCTCTGTGACCCTTGACCTTTGACATACGTGCTCCAAAATCTAATCAGATCGTCTTCCTATGGTGATACATACTATCCTTAAGTTTGAAGTTTAAATCTCAAATGGTTCTTGAGATATCGCGCTAACAAACTCAATACAAGGAATTTCATAAGTTGACCTCTGTGACCCTTGACCTTTGACATACGTGCTCCAAAATCTAATCAGATCGTCTTCCTATGGTGATACATACTATCCTTAAGTTTGAAGTTTAAATCTCAAATGGTTCTTGAGATATCGCGCTAACAAACTCAATACAAGGAATTTCATAAGTTGACCTCTGTGACCCTTGACCTTTGACATACGTGCTCCAAAATCTAATCAGATCGTCTTCCTATGGTGATACATACTATCCTTAAGTTTGAAGTTTAAATCTCAAATGGTTCTTGAGATATCGCGCTAACAAACTCAATACAAGGAATTTCATAAGTTGACCTCTGTGACCTGTGACCTTTGACCTACGTACTCCAAAATCTAATCAGATCGTCTTCCTATGGTGATAAATACTATTCCCGAGTCTTAAGTTTAAATCTTAAATGGTTCTTGAGATATTGTGATAACGGTCAAACGGGACGGACGGACGGACGGACGTACGGACGGACGGACGTACGGACGGACAACCCGAAAACATGATGCCTCCGGCACCACCTTCGGTGGCGGAGGCATAAAAAGAAGGAAATATGGATGATAGTAAAATAAGAATTTAAAATTGATATGTTTATGTTTATAAAAACCATTAATGAAATTCAGTATACAATTAAAAAATAAAGTAATGTAAATGGTGCAAAGATAACGGTATGAGGCTAAGCCCTTCTAAAAGCTGTGTCATGAACATCTCATTCTTGAAACAAGCAGCGTTTCCAGCACTTCAGATAGCTGATCACAGTTTGAATGTGGTCAACCATTTGACATTATTAGGTATTACTTTTCTATATACGGCTTCCAAGTGGTACAATAAATCAGTGTATTCATATCTTTAGCGCAGTACCCGGATGACCGACCAATATTGTTCTTGTATTGCTCAGTCTTCCGGGAGCTTCAACTATCGATATCGATATCACACGAAAACAAAGCCATATTTACAGAGGTAAGTCAAATTTTGTTATTTCGGTAGTCAGCCTGATATAGATAATAATAATAATATTGTATGGCTTTGTTTTCATGTGATACAAGAAAATATTGCTCTCGAAAAGACAATAAAAGACCCGTCTTTGACTCGTCCAATATTGTCATAGCTCGAGCAATATATTCTTGTATCACACTCAAAGCCATTCAAAATTATATAATTATTTCTCTATCAAGTGATCTGTCTCACAGATCTCAAGCTACTTACCTGGGGCTACTGGTGGGCCAGGAGGTATAGGACCGGTAGGGCCTTGATCAATATTAGCATAGAAATACTCCTGGCCATGGGGGTTGGTGAATCCTGCAAGAAATAAGAAACATGTACCATAATTTCTTGTCCAGATATACACTAGTAAACCACTGCAGGAAAGCCACCACACATTTTGGTTTAACATGTAAATGTAAGGCAGCTAACTGTGTGTAACAAAGGACTTGTACGTATTTACCGAGCTTTGTGTTATAACATACAGAAATGTGAAACGTATTAGGCTTGACGTCATCATGAAATGACCGCTGCTGTTTTGCAGAGTCTATTACTGTATGAACCTCAAGACTTGCCCTGCTAAATGTACACAAGATAAAGCTTAAAGGGGCATGTTCCCCATATTCCAGAGGGCGTTCAAAATACGTATGCGCTGGCGGACGGTGCTATAGCTGCCTATTGACACCAACAGAATACGGCTCTTACGCAGATGGCATGTTCCGATAACTACACTGGCGGGAACGTGCCCCTTTAAAGGAAAAGTCCCCCCTGATATTAAGTTGATTTTAATACAAGCAGAAAAATGAGAGAAACAAATCAGTGAAAGTTTGAGCAAATTTTGATAACAATTAAGGAAGTTATGAATTTTTGAACTAGCGATCAGTCAAACACAAATTGGCCACTCTATGAATTATCTTGCGAGCTCCCTTCCCATTTGCTCAAACTTTTTCTGACCTGTTCCTCTTATTTTTGTTCTGCTTCTATTAAAGCCAACTTAATATCAGGGTGGACTACTCGTTTAATACATGGACAGGGTTGCTAGGTGTTTCCATCCTATAAGCCTGAAAAGAGGCTAAGACGTGTTGAGCACTAAATGCAACTTGAATTAGGCGTAAATATTCATAAATGAATGACACACGCCATTAAAGCTAAAACAACAACAACTAAACATTTTCTGTAACATGAAGCCTGAAAATGGCCTGTACTAAATAAGTGACAGGGCCTGAAATGAGGCTACAACCTAAAAGCTAAAAGGCGTAAATTTTCACTTCTGAATGACAAACGCCTATAAACTAAAACAACAACAACAAGCACCAATGCATGTATCCTGTTTCTGGTGTGTAGACCTACCCATGTATAAAGTGCATGGGCTATGTTTGTCGGTTTGTGAAAACAGCAGTGACTTTTGCAATTCTGAATAAAGCCATCATTAAATATTTTGACAGGACTTGATAGGCTAGTTTTTCGTCAATTATCTTCAAATGCGAGAAAACTTGTCCCAGAATGTCTTAATAGAAATGATCAACATACTGAAAAGAAGGAAATTCATAATTTTGACAATTCCAAGATGAAAGAAAACAAATCTGATGTTAACATTTATCATATTTATATGGAAAGGGGAAATCAAGATCGAATTAATAGTCTAATACCAGAGTTATAAACATCTTCTTTAATACTGAACGGAACTTACCTTGCTTTTTGAAGGTATCAATCTCTTTGTTCATGCACTCAATATCTATTTGTAGCTGTCTCTTCTCCTCCCTCGTCTTACTCAGTTGCTCGTTCTGTCGAGAGTGGGAAAAAAATCAGTAGATATCATATAATAGTTAATTATTATTGAAGGAATAGACCAGTTTTGGAAACGCCCCCCTCTCAAAAATTAGAATGGAAGCTCGCATTACCAATCATGTGAAAGAATATGTTTTTACTAATACGTGATGATACAAATTTTGCAGGGAAACCGCCTACTAATTGATATATTTGGTAAATTATCATATCTATCCGGCCTGAATAGATATCCCGTAGTCCCATAAACATCTTTCTGTGTACAGCGCTTGTAACTTTACCAAGACTGGGCCAAATTTCTTATCATTTTGATAATTCCAGAACCAAGCAGTACACACCAATGCTAGATGATCAGCCTTTTCTGATCGATTCCAGAACGTTTCTTTTACAATGCAATCACATGACCAGAATACCTTTAATAAATGCATTGTTAGCTCTCTCTATCTTCAAGGAAACACACTGATCAGTATTCAGTAGCAAATATCCAGGGACTCTGGAGTAAAGGGGAAGACCACCCTGACATTAAGTTGGTTTTAATAGAAGCAGAAAAAGCCAGAAATAGAGTTCACTTCTCATTTTACATAATTATTGAAATGCACATCACTGATGATGCTAATGGCACGATTGACTTAGAAACTTGGTATTCAAAATATTTTCGAACTGCACTGTATTGGAATACGTATTTACACAAATATTCTAATCCATGGAATACATGGAATTATAGTTAACTAAATTATTCATAGACTTACCAAGTTTTTTATAATTTTTAAAGTATTGGTATGTGAAAAATTGATTTCTCCCGATTTATGATTCTTGAAAATATGTCATGTTAAAGCTTACATCTGAAAGTATTCAACAAAGGCTAATTCAACCAGTTCACCTTTCATTCTTGAGTTCAGAAAAACACAAAAACATCAAATTTACGAGGGGTATGAACAATTATGTTGTTACTGTATGCCAGGGGGGTGTTTCACAAAGATTTTAATGAGCTCTAAGTTGGACGTAAAAATTATGGAGAGCCATTTGTAGCCTTATAATAAAACATATTCAAAAGCAAAAATCCAAGTATTTTAGACTGTTCATAAATTCCACATCAAGAACGTGAAATCTCCCATGATAATAGAAAATATGAATGATTAGAATCAACATTTTATGCCCTTCAAAATAACTTTTACAAAATATTTTCAAAGATGCTAACTGCTTTCCAAAACTGTTAAGTCCAACTTAGAGATAAGTTCAACTTAGGATCTTTGTGAAACACCCCCCCCCCCCCCCCCCCCCCAGGTGATGTCCGTTTCAATACTGACCGATGGGAAGGGTGATCGGTGGGATCTTTTGGTGTTGAGGTCATGCTCCATACTTCTGATCTCGCCCCTCATTCGCTCAAGCTTGACCTGTTCCTCGGTAAGGTCCTTTCTCAGCCTCTCTTTCCTCGCATTCTGGTGCATGATCAAAGCTGCGTGGGGGAAACGAGGGTTTATGAAAATACGTTATTATTTTATATCTATTTTACCGTGATTATTGACTGTCTTAATGTCAGTCTTAAAATAACGTTCATATATTATTTATTCTTGGGAACCTACAAAAACAAGCTATGCTTTCCAGTAGGTTCCTGTTTCATTTCATAATTTTGAATTTACTTTGTCAACTATGTTCTTCATTGTGCAAACAATTGATGTATGAAATGGAATAAATTCGATTCAATCAATCAATCAAATAATTTGGTGAACTCACATTACTCTGGCACCGTTACTCTTGTATTTTTTTTTTGGGGGGGGGGGGGCTTGGGTTGTAATTGAAAACAGTCCCTTATAATACAACCTACATGTACAATATTCTTCTCAAATTTCTGAATTTCAAATAATAAATCACTTGTTGTAGCATACTGTTTACACATAATTAATTTTTTCGCGCTGAGCGGCCCCAAAACATATACGCTGGTTCTTAAATTTGTGTTGCACGCAATTCAGCCCATTCGAAACACACACATAAGCAAATATTTTCACGAGTTCTAAAATTCGCGCTTGCAGATCTTGGCGCAAAATCCGCAAAAATTAATGTACCGCAATTACAGATGTACAGTATTAACTATACATCTTGCTTCTTAAAGCCCTGTCAATTCTCAACTTGTATGTAGCATAGAGAATATTTTCATAATATTTTGGTCTTCATTGCATCTTCAAAAAGGAAGTCTATAAAATATGTTTTCAGTTCTGACATTGCATTCTTCAGAATGTGATAAAGCCTCTAATAGAATATGAAATATTATATAAATATGATAGTAAATCTAAAGGACAAATAATCCATCAAATACAAATTCAAGCATTGTAGTCACGAGGACAAATAATCAATCAAATACAAATTCAAGCATTGTAGTCACGAGGCAACTATCTTGTAATTAAATGAATTACATTTGAACTTCAACATTCCCTAAAGATTTAGACTGTTATGTCACATGGAAGTGAGAGTAGACTGTCTTAACTAATTAGCATACAGTACTCCTTGGAAATTCCCTTTGTGGTTTCTGCATCACAGACTAGACATGGTTTCTATAGGCTGCTATGTGCCTAAACCTCCTCATTTTAGCATACTCTTAGAGGAAATTCCCCTTTTGGACTTGGCAATTGTAAAAGGGGATCCCCCTTTTTAGAGTTGGCAGGAAAACATGTGCAATACACATGTAGCAATCCCCTGATGAGAATCTCAATAACATGCGGTCTTGTAACATATACAGTGTACATGTATGGACAATACTTGGCATTGGAGCATCCCATTGCCAACAACAACAAGACGATAAACCACATAGAAATATGAACTGTTTTCAAGTCTATGAAGAACTACTGTGGACAAATAAATATTGCATCTCATTATTATATCAAGCCATTATTGTCATTTTGTCAGCTTCTGTATTATCTCATAATGTCTTGGTTTTTGTGCACCTTGGGTGTTATCATAGGCAGATATGAGCTACGCAAATCAAATATTATTTATATGTACGGTATACATTTTTGTACGTGTACTTCATGCATTTTTACACAATTAAAATTGATCATGAAATTTAGAAAATTAAAAGTGTATTTTAAGGGGTAAAGTTGACAGTTCTATAATTATGTATCGCTGACGAAAATGCAAGTGTTCTGTGAAATTCAAGGGGAAATAATTTATTACAATTAGAAATAGCAACTTTTGGGTATCATTTTAATCTAAATGTTCCTATGAACATGCTTATATTTGACCATTTATGGCAGCCAGTTGCCTTTAAATAAACATACCTTGGTTATTATCAGAATATCTCAAATGATTTTTTTTTTTTTTTTCATCCATGATTGGCTGTGTTTAGTACTATTATTATGCCTCTGAAAGCGAAAAACTGGGGCAAAGATAGAAAGAGAAGACCATTTTCCATGGACTTTTAAGACAATATCATAATCTGGAGTAGCGTACCTTGATTATATCTCAGCTCTTCTTGACTGCCCATTCTCTTTCTGTACTCCGCGCTCTCTGGCCCTTGGACTGGTGGTCTCTGGGTGGAGGTAGGATAGGACTGTGCGGGTGCTTGGGCATTGGACACCTGCCTTGCAGCTCCACCATACAACCCAACCCCACTAACCCCACCACCAGCGCTTTCAGGGTGGGGTGAGTTTACCTCAGGTTGGGATATTTTCCTTCTCACATCCTGCCGCGGCTCTGGGGTGTTACGCTGGTGCGGGGCAACAGGGTGCGACGACACCACGTTGGGTTGCCCCACGATCGGCATCGGCGCCACCGGTGAGTTGTAGTGTAAAGGCGAAGTACTGGTGTTCTGATTGGGGGGTGCGTGCGGCCTAGGCGAGGCACTTCTCGGGTATTGATACGCAACGCCAGGCGATGATCGTCCATTAGATTGTAGCGAGGCACGTAAAGCATTATGGTCAATAGGGGGGAAGAACGGGTTGGTAAACGGTGATGGAGTTCTGTCTCTAAGTGGTGGTGATATACCAGGCAAGGTTATACTCGATTCGAGTCCGATGCTGTCTGGGGTACCTGGCGTTCTACTGCCATTCCCCGCATCATAAGTTCTACTAGGCGAAGGCGAAGGTGTTCTAATAGGTTGGACCAGGCCGGGGCTTTTGGCTCTCTGTCCAGAGTCCTGTAAATTGACAGATATTTTAGAGACCTGAAGAGGCGGTCTGCCGCTGAAACTACATAAATCTCTGTACCCCTGCCAGCCACCCGTCGGCTCATTTGCCTCCGGTGTCCTACTGGGTTGCGGGTCAACTTTATCCCCTCCCGCGTTCATCTTTGGAGGCCACGTTAGCTCAAACCAGCCGTCACTGTTCAATCGGCCGTCCTGTGAGCCTTCTGGTCCCTGCTGTTGTATGCGTTGTTGCTGGGGTTGTTGGTGGTGCTGAAGGTGCTGTGTTGGTGGTTGTGGTGTGTGTTGTTGCGCCGGATCCATTCCGGCTGACACAGCACACATGGGATCCCTTCTTTCCTGGGCCTGACTTCTCTCTTTTAGCTGTGTGATGCACAGGTTTAGGTTGGTAGGATTCTGACAGGAAGAAAACAAAAATTGTCCTGTTTAATGCAGAAAAAACAAAATCCATGGTAAACTGAATCAATATCAAAGAGACCTGAATTTTGACAAAGATACATGTAAGTATCAAAATTAGCATCTTAGACAAACAAATACTTTTGTAGAATGTTAAACATTCTAAAGTCCAAGATACTTTGTCCCTGCATACCATCTATTGCATATCAACATTTGATCACTAACTACATGTATGTTGATTGCACGAAATACGCTCTGACAATCATTACTTTGAATCTGCTCTGCAATTACTGCTGCTAACATATTAAAGTACAAACTTCGACCCCGGAACTCAAAAACAGAACCTGAAACCTAAACCTAAACCCAACATAAAATCCTATTGCAACCCATCCAACCATCTCATCAAATATTGCTTTGAGCAAATGTTAAATCACTAAGTACAATCATACAAAACAATGCAAGTAAACAAGAATATCATAATCATTATTCGCTGTGGGGTGAGTATTCAAATAGTGGAAAAAGTGGTATTCAAGTGCCGATCGGCGGTAAGCTATTCGAATATTAGTCCTAGGCCTAGTACATACATGTACATGTAGAGCCAGAAAGGAAGTAACTCAGTGTTAACGTACATGTACAACACCACAATAGGGCACTAACTCATATACGTTAACACGTACAGTTAATGCCTTTCTGACTATGAACAGACATAATAATGTACTCCTGCATATACATGTATGTACTCACAGTTCTAAGGCATTCATCAAAGACTGGTTCAGGTAGATGTGAGAAGCGTTGTCGTAATCGTTGTCGAACATCTTCCTCTACCAGAGCCATACTGACAAGTCAGAAAGGAAAAATAGAACATTTATCAAAGATTTAAAGGAAAAAATGCATACATACAATACATACTTGTGAGAAGCTATGTCATAACAAAAAATAGAATATTTGCTATACCTTTGAAGAAAATAGGCATGAAAATGACTGGGCTACATGAAGTAGGGACCCTAGAATGAGTTACACCCACCCAATATAGAAAAGTTAATTTGATAGTTTGATGCAACAATATCTTACTTGCTCATTTGATAATGGATTTTGAAAGACGATATCTTCCCACACTACTTCACTTTGTTTCCTTGAATAACATTTTTTATTGAAATTACAGGTACACGTACATACACATCAGTTTATTAAATTATTACATGTACATGTATATGTTTATTTCATAGAATTAATAGAATTTGCTAAATTCTTTACTACTGTATGTACAGTAAAATCAACAATTCTTTGCCACACCGTGGATAATTCTCCGTAGATAATTGCCGTGATATAATCAATACAGATTCAGATCAAATAGAAATCCTAGCACATCATAAAGCAGCTAAACTAATTATATTACAGCTGTTAAGTGTTATTAATCTCCATTATGAACAATATCCCATGTCAAATCACTCCATATACACAAGCCACATAACACACACAGTTTACTACACACGTACATGAATCCATATGCTGCAATACAATTATAACGTACATGTATGTAAGGCCCCTACATGTATGAGGCCTTGTGTACCGGTATACATTGTAAGTTCATACATGTGTACTTACAAGTGTACTTTAATACTCCACACACATGTACATGAATATTGTACATATTTTGCTTATGATCACTCGTTGATCACAGAGTATAATTATGGGGAAACAACAGTCACATGACCAAACTTGATATCACATGCTCATAAACTATATGGGCCAGTAAAGGTTGCACGAAGTATAGTCAGAAATAGTTTGAACATGATGTATATTACAACAAGTCAGCAATGTTCATGTACTACATGTATGTCAGTTGATGAATAATGTACATGTACATTGCAGGGCTACATGTACTGTACATCATCATAATTGTAGGACGGATGTTTCCATTTATTAATACTGTACCACTTCTTTCTGACCTACATGTACCTGACCCACTTTGATCTGACCCCCTTTTTTCCAGTTCATTTTCTACACAGAGGCGGCTTCATGAGACAGTTTCTGTGATTGGCTTTTTTGCTAGTGCATATTCTTGACATTATGCAAATTAGCCCCTGGGTCTGGCTCCTACTCCTAGTCCTATGCAGACACAGATATTTAGGCCCCAGCAGGTTGATCCCTGGGGCGCAGAACGGCAACTGTGGCTAGCAGTCGTGCAGTAATACATGTAGCTGCGATCACCTTCGCTTAACTTGGGGGGGGGGAATCTACCCCGTTACCCCCTCAAAACATGGTCCTGACATTTGGTCCATTACATTTCAATATTACCAAATCAACATGCATACCTCAGAAATCACAAATCTGACTCATTCTTAAATTTTCTCGCTCAAAGTGTCATTTTCAGGTACTTTTAATCATATTTTTGCGCCACCAAAAGATGTGAATTGTGCAATTAAAATTAGCATGTCATGAATATTCACTAGAAAAAAGCCAATCACAGAAACTGTCTCATGAAACTGCCTCTGTGTAGAAAATGAACTGGAAAAAAGGGGGTCAGATAAAAGTGGGTCAGGTAGGTCAAAAAGGAAGTGGTACAGTGGAAACATCCTTGTAGGACACACAACACAAACAATATTTTGTCAGGCCTATCATATAATTGCATGAATGTGTGATTAATAATTAGACGTCTGCTTGCGCTTCAATACATGTAACAAATCATTTTGTCAACATTTTTGTTTATTAGTACCTAATTTCATACGATCACTACTTAATAAAATCTAATAATGTTTTCACTATGAAGTGTGGATGCACTATTTGTTGTACTGTACTGAATTAAATACAACAATTAAGGCTCCTTCAAAACTGAAACCAATGCAAAAAAGCAGCCACGGTTTAATTACATGTAAATGAATGGCAACTGTTCGTAACAAAGGACTTTTGTGTATTTACTGAGTTTTTCATATATATTCATACAGAATATGAAGTGTATTATAATTAACGTCATTTAAAACAAAGTTGCGGTTTTGCTGTATCACCCTTACATGATCTATCCCTTAAAAAAATTGGATATTTCTTCCATTAAGTTTTTTGGTATTCAAAACTATATATGATAAAGAATAAACCACTCTATTGCAAAAGATATACAATTAATAAATATATATACAGTACATGTATACATAACATTGATTTATGTATGTGGATGCTTTCAAATCAAATGTCAAAAGTGACTTAAAATCAAAGAAAGATTGGCCAGAAGCCTACATGTATAAACAGATTCTACCGAATATAAATATCCGGGCCCGTCTTATAAACAGTTGCTATTAATCTCAAATTAGACGTGTATTTGTGATAGATATCAATCTCATCTCTATTTAAGACGGGGGCATGTACATGTACACTGTTTGCACAGTACATGTAAATGTACATGTAAGTTCTGCATGCATATGAACAATGTGCAACTTACCACAGGTACACGTACAATGTACATGTAACAGCAAGTCTAGTCTATTCACACCCCATCAGGTTCAATATCACACCTCTAAAGCACAAGTATTAAAGTTCTCAAGAGGGCATTTGTACATAAACACTTCCCACTCGCCTTTACAAGCCAATAAAATGTGAAATATACAATACAACCATTCAACTCTCGATCGGGGATTCCCCTATTGAACTCCCACACTGTCTGTACACTGAGGCCAACAAACTTGCCAGTACATGTAAACTGTACATGTGATTGCACTACCATTAACACAAAAGCAACATGATCACTGTCATGTGGACATGACCAGTATCACATGACTGACAAAATTCCCTTAGTGATATCAGTCTGAGCGCCACGTGAAATCAGTAGCATGTACATATATTTCCTCAGCTCATATATTTATGGCCATCCGGGATATGAATATGTAATGCGTCTCCAGGCGTCTGGTTTTTCTGCATTTTTTTAACAATAAATTTTGATCTACTGTACATTTCTGAAGTTGGTATCAATGGAAAGAAGAATAAACAAGGATTCGATATATCTAATATTCAGAGTCTTATTCTCACTTTTTAATTTGGAAAATGGCAACTTTGACCTAATAAATTATACTTGCATCTATGTACATGTATAAACATACATTAGGCAAATTACGTACATGTACATGTATACATACCGGTACACGTATTCACCGTTTTGAGGAGCACGGTCAAAACTATTGCTCAAGCTGATCTTAAAATGCTGGAGCGCTGTAATGGCAGCTAGGCTAAAGCCGGGTAACAATAAAAGCACCTCGGAATAGAATTTCTAGATACACGGCGCTATACAATGTACATGATGTACATGTACATCGCCTATTATTATTATTATTAAAACTGTACTATACACCGAGACGGACGAGCATACACTGTAGCGCAGGCTCAAGATTACTGAGAGAGCTAAAATGAGATGAAGAATCGATTGTTCACACTGCCTAGACATGAACAAGAGAAAAGTAAAACTGTGTTTGGGGGAGTTCTTTAATACTTTGCTTTAAATAGGAATTGAGACTCCCTTTCAAAGATTTTTTTTCTTATTTTTTTTTCTTTCTTTTGTATTTTTAAATACATTGTAAGAGGCATTTTAGAGCTTTCCACAGCTAAATCACTCACAAATCCCTTGAATCTTTTACTGGGTCAAGAACATAATTGAAATATAGGTTGTATACAGTATTGCTTGAAGTAAAGTAGACACAAATCCCCTACACTAGATCTCCTTGGTAAATAACAAATACAATAAATTGTCTGGTTTCAATGTGGTTTCTTTTCTAGGAAAGCAGTAGCAGAGAGAGTGTGTATGACTGTAGGTCTATGCATGGTAGCAGCTAGACAGATAACACTCAATAGAAAACCACAGGCTTTATTGGTTGTTGACATTTGGTCACTTGATCTATTAAACAAATCTTACATCATACATGTAAAGTGTAGGCTCATTTACACATCCCAAACACCTTTTCAACCAATTTGTTTTCAGGGCTCAGATGGTCTTTATTTTTCCTCCTGACACAAAAACAGGTAACATTTATTTATTCTGAAGTTCATACTAATGTAAGGTGTTTCAAGGCAAATTTTTCATCAATGGAACAACCATAAGCAGGGCGCGACAAACCCGCTTGCCCGACGTCCCGGGGCAACCAAATTGAGCCGTCGGGCAAGTAAATCAAATTATCACTTGCCCGATTCGGGCAAGTGATACTTTTACAGTAATTTCCTAGTGTCCAAGAACTCTACCATTCACCCGTCAACTTCTTACCCGTCGTCAAAATCCAGAAGCAAAAAAGCGATCGTTCCGATTTCGAAAAAACTTCACAGACAGCTAGCCAGCTCAGCTAGCTCAGCGCGCATGCAACAGTGACACTTCAAGCCATGAATGCCGCTCCGCCTCCACGCACGGCCGGCCGTGAGCTAGCTAAAGACAGCTAGCGCGATCGTACCAGCTGCGAGCTTATTCGCGCTCTCTCTCTCTAGCTCTGCAGGCCGCACCGACAGGCCTTTGCTATTCTCTGATTGCCGATTGGTTGAATCACGCCAAATATGACGTCATTATTCTAGGGAAATGAACACGTGCGAATCGGAATGGAATAAACAACAGGGATTTTCTAGTAAGTACAAAAAGTCAAATGTTTGATATTTATTCATAATGACTGTTAATGATTGTGAACATATTATTTAAAACTCGCTGCTCATATAAATCAGATGAATGTTTTTGTCTCGTTTTCAATTTATTACTGCGGTCTCAAGATCCGACCGAGCGAGTCATTTTGATAATAGTATCGAGACCCCCAGAATATAAGCCGTTGTTGTTTTGTTTTCATGGTTTTAGCGACGTTGTTTAGTCTAGTTTTCGCA